AGGGAGGAAAGTGAACTCCCATATGATTGAAACATAACTTAGCAAGATCACCAACGAAATTACTACTGAAACGATTCTTTTTCTTTTTTTAGTTGAAGATAATTAGTTAATAATGCAATAGGATTATGAAAATCTCATTCATAGAGAACTATGAAATATGAAGAAGTAAACAAGGAAAAATTAATCTAAAATGAATTAGAACTTTGGTATTCAAAAATACCATATCGAAACGTACATTAATATTCCCGATTAATAAAATAGGAAATAAGATGCTGATGTTGTTGATGATGATGATGATGATGATGATGACGCACCAATGATGATGATGCTCATGATGATGATGATGATGATGATGACGCACCAAAGATGATGATGCTCATAATGGTGATGATGATGATGGTGATGATGATGATGATGATGATGATGATGGTGATGATGATGATGATGATGATGATGATGTTGAGGATGATGATAATGACGATGATGCTGATGATGATAATGATGATGGTGAGATGATGATGATGACGATGATGATGATGATGATAATAATGATGATGGCAACCGCCGATGATGATGATGATGATGATGATGACGGCAATGATAAAACCGAAGCTGGTGATGAAGATGCCCTCTTACGAGCTGATGATAAAGCTGTCGCTGACGAACATGCTGATGAAGAAGCCCACTTACTAATTGATGTTGTCCCGATAAGATGACGCAGAACCTTTCTTAAAACAAACACACTGGATACGAGCTGAGAACCTGAATATCACTTCCCTCCTTATCTCCCTCCATTCGTCCTCCCATCTCATGGGACACACTGTACTCTCCTCCCTCTTGCTGCGAGCCGACCTCCTCACCAAATTATGCAAGATGAAGACCTCGTAAGAAAAACCTGCTCCCCCTTACACAGCATGCTAGCCCGTAGCATTCCTCGTGGCAGGCACAAGACGGCGAGATGGCACTACGAATGCTTTCAAATGTTAGGAGATAGAGAGGTGAAGTATTCACCCCCTCAATCATCTCGCAGCTTCGCCCAGCATACCACGTTCGTTGAAGATCCAGCCCCCGCGCCACTCAGCAATTCCACACTCGAATTTCATAGCGCGCCTTAAATCTTCGATATCTCATGATCCACTCGACCATTGGATCTGAAATTTGGACCACCTCAGCTCCTTAACATAGACCACCGGTGGTCCAATTTTCAGCTCAGGGCGCGTGCCCAATCGCGCGCAATCGTCGAGCGTGCGCGCGCTATATTCCTTGCTGCGTACAGATTTCCAGCGCGCGCGGCTCCGTGGCAGTAACTTTGATTGATGATTGATACTGCCGGGGCGCAGCTCTCCCGGTAGCGCTGCGCCCCCCAACGATCTGTGGTTGTTCGATGCCAGAACGACGCTGGCCGGTGCTGGGGTGTTGCCCTGTAACCTGTTCAATGTAGGATTTGAACCTACAACAGTGAGCTTACCAATTCAAGTCAATTGCAAGGAAGATGAGCAATAGCGAACTTCAGCAATCAAACAGCATCATACATATGAGTCCAGATAGTCGTGACCTCGAACCAACAGCAGAATTGCATCACGAGATTCACCAAATAAGAACACACCAAGAGTTCATAATTGACAATGTTGAAATAGTCCCATCATCATCAACGAAGAACCAGAGTTGATATCCTATCTGGCGCTCGGCGCCCAGACTACATGTGGCAGATCCTATCTAGCCTATACTACGATACCGAACGATGACGTCAACAACTTTCCCGAAGTACGAGCATATGGCGACCAATGTCGCACGCTTCCAGCACCAGGTATGTCTCTCGCCACACTCACAACCTCGTTCCCCAACACACAGATGCCACTAGCACCCAAGGACCACCCTGCGCCTCACCCAGCTTACAGCAGCGCAGCTCGGCTATGGCTGCGTGCTCCTTCCCTGCTCGCCCGTGAGAGCGTAGGCGCCAGCCAGCAAATAGCGCAGCAGCGCTTGCGTAGCATGCAGACAACACCCGAATGCTGAATGAGGAGGCAGGCCCTTTGCTATATTGAAGTGGCCTGCCTGCGTCCAGTCCCAGGAAGCTTCCAGTAGGCCCCGGTAGCCTGAGGCCCAGCACGACGAGAACAGGCCTTGGGCCTGGGGTGGTTGCATGTGCCCAACTGCCTTTGGCCTGTGTTTGGCCCAGTACCCGTATCCAGCCCAGGGCCTGCTTCACATGCATTCACACAGGTGGCCCGGGGCTTGGGTTCAGTCAACCAACTGGCGCTGCGCAACTGCCTGAATTTCCCTGAGTTGTGTGGTGGCCAGAATAGGGCCCTGAGGGCCTCGTCGAGCCTGCCTTCACTTAGGGCGGCCTACGGGCTGCAAAATGGGGCCTTATGGGGCTCATAGAGGCAGTGGCCTCGCATTCCCTCCTCCTTAGCTTCAACAGTCCTCTGAGAAGCTCAGTCTTCAACCATGGGGCGCTTTCCCTTCTGCAGAGATCTCTCGTATTGGGCTACAACTTGAGGGGCGGTCTGCATGAGCTCTTCCCTGGTGAACCAGCGGTCCTCCTTCGGATCAGTGTGATGCCAGAACCGGACGCGGTACTGCAGCTTCAGTTTTGGAGGACGTCCCCTGCCTGCTGGTCTTGATACCGGCAGCTCTCTGTGATCCACGATGTCATCGATGTCCACCTCTCCGTCCATGGTTGGGGGCAGCATTGAGCGACGAGATGGAAATTGATCAGTCTCTTTGAAAGGTGCCAGCTTGGAGGCGTGAAAGACAGGGTAAGTACGGAGATGACCAGGGATCCGGACAACATAAGATGGCCCATCCGGATCTGTCCCAACGATGTCCAAGACTTCCCAGGGTCCAAAGTACTTGGGCATGAGTTTACGGGAGATCCAATGCTCCTGTCCCAGCTCTGAAGACTTAACCCAGATCCTATACCCAACTTGAAATGTAGAAGGCCGGCGGTGTCTATTTTCATACTCTATCATTGTAGCCTGTGCCTTCTGCATCTTCTGTTCATAGTGGTAAGCAAATTCCAAGGTGCCTGGTGCAACAGTGGATTGATTCTCAGGGAGAAGAAAGTCTAGGGACAGTCTAGGCTTAAATGTTAGCAGTAAGCTGTTTGGGCTCACCCCGGTGGCGCTGTGTACAGCGTTGTTGTACAAGCTGGCGATGAGAGCAAGCTTCTCATCCCAGTCCACCTGGTTGGGCTTGATGTAATGCCTGAACAGGTGTTGTACAGCGCGGTTCATTTGGTCGGCCTGACCGTTGGCCTCTGGGTGATTCCCATAAGTCATCTGCAACTGAGTTCCCTGCTCTGCAGCAGCGGCCTTCCACAACTCGCTGGTAAACCGGACATCCCTGTCACTAATATAGACTTCGGTAAATCAAAGTCCCTGACTCAGTTCTCTTTGAACATTCTGATGACATACTCCGTTCTTGCTGTTTCCGGCATTGCCCCTAACCTAGCATACTTGCTAAATCTATCCACGATGACAAAGATGTGTCGCATCCCACTCTTGCTGGTGACCATAGTATCCAGGAAGTCCATGGACAGACTCTCACCAGGCCGTTCCGGTATCAGAAGGGGCTTCAGGAGCCCAAGAGGAGCCTGAGTACGGGGCTTGTCTCTTTGACATACCTGACAAGTCTCCACATACAGCTGGGCGTCTCGCATCATCGTGGGCCACCAGAACCGCTGCAGCAGATTAGCTGCGGTCTTCTTGTACCCAAAATGGCCGGTGGCATCATGACACTCACCTAAAAATAAACTACGCAAAGACTCGCTATTAGGGACACACGATCGTTTATTCCCTGCCTTCTCAAGGAACAGCAAGCCATTGACCAATTCAAACTCGACAGAGGTCTTCTTGTCCTTCGCCTGCTGTCTGCGTATGATCTCAGACATGAACTGGTCCTCGCGATAGGCTTCCACCAAGGACTGAGTAATTATTGCCTTAAAAAAAAAAAAAAAAAAAAAAAAAAAAGATTGAACTCAGTAATCAGCGCACCTGAGAAATCAGGTCTACGTGACAAGGCATCAGCAACCTTGTTGTACTCCCCTTTCAGATACTGAGGGTCAAAGGCATACTGCTCAATGACTTCAATCCAATGCTTGAGAGCGTCAGAGAGTACCGGCTGATTTCTCATCCATCTCAAGGTCTGATGATCAGTCCTGAGGATGAAGAACCTCCCAAGGACATTTTATGTTTATTGATGGCCCTAAAAATGTCACCTTTGAAAATGCTGGACCCCCTGGGATGTATCTGAACTTCAGCTAAGTCCAGATGGACCCTCAAGGGCTAAAATGGTGACATTTTTAGGGCCAATATAAGTAGGTTTCAATTTCGTTCAAAACTGGGCTACCAGCCCGGGGCGCCCAGGTCACCTTGTTTGACCCGGCAGCCTGGCCATGCAAGGAACACAAAAGGGCCCAGCAAAAAAAAAAATAAAAAAAAATCCAACAAATCCGAAAAACAACTATGTGATGCAGAAAAATCAACTGAACAACGTTTGCCTCAGGGTCACATCGACATTCTTTACCAAATTTAAAATTAAAATCAAAATTAAATATATATATAGATATATCGTATTGAGTATTATTGACGATATATCGTCAAACAGAGCTTCCCGGTAAACCATAGGCAGAGAGGGAGAAGAGGACAACAAACGAGAGGCTGTGACACACACACATACACACACACACAAAAAAGAAAAAAAGAAAAAAAAGTGTGGTAGTGTATATTTGCTCATCCTATCGATGGAAGTACCCCCTCTCTCTCTCTCTCTCTCTCTCTCTCTCTCTCWCACACACACAAACACACACACACACACACACACACACACAAACACGCGTGCGGGCGCGCACATGTAGCAGTGTATATTTCGATGTTCTAGCGGAAGATTCATTCGATTTTGCTCATCCTATCGATGGAAGTAGCGTGAGGCCACCCGCGAGGTTGGAGACTTACCTGTTGGCTGGTGCGTTGCTCGACGAATCGATGGAAAACTCTCCCTCTCTCTCTCTCTCTCTCTCTCTCTCTCTCTCTCTCTCTCTCTCTCTCTCTCTCTCTCTCTCTCTCTCTCTCTCTCCCTCCCTCCCTCCCTCCCTCCGCCGCCCTGCCGGTCGCCTCGCCGCTGGTCAATTCATCCCATGCCACTTCCCGCTCCGCCCTGCCCGTCACGTCGCTTCAGCCCCGCACTCGTCGACATCCCTGCTGTCCGCCTGCGGCGATTTTGCCTGACATCCCAGCAAATCCCAGTCCACGTGAGCAGAAGACGACCCAGTTCGTCCGCGGCCGGACCGACTCCTCTTCTGCCCGCGCGCGCCATAATTTTTTCGCCCCTCGCCCTGGGTTCCACCGGTTCCCCCTTACCCGCTGCCCGTCACCGGTCCCGCGCGGAGCCGCCCGGTTTCTGTTGGGACCCACGTGAAGACCACTGTTTCCTTTAGTAGTACAGGGATATTTTCAATTACTTTTGGCTCGGCTGGGCAAGTTGCCCTGGGTCGCTCTGGTAGCCTAGGCTCAAAAAGTATAATATATCCATTTTAATTTTTAACTAAATGGCTGTTCAAAGAAAAGAATGAAGCACAAGTTTAGATCAATATCTGCGGAACTACAGGATGCTTTGAGAGGTCCAGGATTTGCCCAGACGGAAACCTTACGTGCTTGCAAGGGCCAGGGAGATCAATTGTTCAGTGAAAAAGAAAGATGCAAACAATGGAAAAAAGGGTAATCAGGCAACAGAGACGGCAGCAAAGATGGCAAGAGAGGAGTTGAAGAGCAACCACCTTTTTGAGGCATGTGCAAGCTTCCACTGGAGGCTCTTAGGTCAAACCAGGGCCGTAATAAGGAGGATGGCTATGAGACTCAATGCTATAATAACACACAATCCCAGGAGACCAAAACACATATTCCGGTCAGAGTAGGGAAGAAAGTTTTGACAGTAAATGACATGTTGCACATACATGTCGAGTTTGCTCATGAACCCATCTTCAAAACTTTTCTGAGCTCCAAATGATCGGATTGTTACCAGGCCCTGCAAAATCAATACATTAGGTTGTTCAGTTACGAACTTGTACGAAAATCCTGACAGCAGGGCTGGCATTATCCCTCCCAATTCATGATGCAAGACTAGTTTGCAGACAGAACCCTCCATAACAACTCAAGAAGCGGGAATGAGACAAAAAGGGAAGGAGAAGGGTGACAAGAAGAAGGAGGAGGAGGCAAAACGCGGAGGAACAAGGAGATGGCGACGACGACCGTGGCAATGAAGAAAGAAAGAAGAAGACGGCAGAAGAAAGAAAGATGAAGACAGAAGAAAGAGGGAAGACATGCAGAAGAAGAGGAAGAAGAAGAGGAAAAAGAAGCGGAAGAAGAAGAAGAAGAAGAAGAAGAAGAAGAAGAAGAAGAAGAAGAAGAAGAAGAAGAAGAAGACGAAGAGGAAGATGAAGAGGAAGATGAAAAGGAGGAAGAAGACAAAGAGGAAGAAGCAGAAGGACGGATGGAAGGAATGGAAGGAAGAAGAAGAGGGAGGAGGGGAAGGAGGGAGGGGGGAAGGGGGGAAGGAGG